TCCCTCTTCACCCAATTCCTCTGGGTCTTCCCAGTGCACCAGGTCCGAGCACTTGTCTCATGCATCCCACCTGGGCTGGTGATCTGTTTCACTATAGATAATATACATGCTGTTCTCTCGAAACATCCCACCCTCACCTTCTCCCACAGAGTCCAAAAGTCTGTTCTGTACATCTGTGTCTCTTTTTCTGTTTTGCATATAGGGTTATCATTACTATCTTTCTAAATTCCATATATATGTGTTAGTATGCTGTAATGGTCTTTATCTTTCTGGCTTACTTCACTCTGTATAATGGGCTCCAGTTTCATCCATCTCATTAGAACTGATTCAAATGAATTCCTTTTAATGGCTGAGTAGTATTCCATTGTGTATATGTACCATAGCTTCCTTATCCATTCGTCTGCTGATGACATCTAGGTTGCTTCCATGTCCTGGCTATTATAAACAGTGCTGCAATGAACATTGGGGTACATGTGTCTCTTTCAGATCTGGTTTCCTCAGTGTGTATGCCCAGAAGTGGAATTGCTGGGTCATATGGCAGTTCTATTTCCAGTTTTTTGAGGAATCTCCACACTGTTCTCCATAGCGGCTGTACTAGTTTGCATTCCCACCAACAGTGTAAGAGGGTTCCCTTTTCTCCACATCCTCTCCAGCTTGTAGACTTTTGGATAGCAGCCATCCTGACTGGCGTGTAATGGTACCTCATTGTGGTTTTGATTTGCATTTCTCTGATAATGAGTGATGTTGAGCTTCTTTTCATGTGTTTTTTAGCCATCTGTATGTCTTCTTTGGAGAAATGTCTGTTTAGTTCATTGGCCTATTTTTTGATTGGGTCATTTATTTTTCTGAATTTGAGCTGCAGGAGTTGCTTGTATATTTTTGAGATTAATCCTTTGTTGCTTAGTTTGCTATTATTTTCTCCCAATCTGAGGGCTGTCTTTTCACCTTGCTTATAGTTTCCTTTGTTGTGCAAAAGCTTTTAAGTTTCATTAGGTCCCATTTGTTTATTTTTGCTTTTGTTTCCAATATTCTGGGAGGTGGGTCATAGAGGATCCTGCTGTGATTTATGTCGGAGAGGGTTTTGCCTATGTTCTCCTCTAGGAGTTTGATAGTTTCTGGCGTTACATTTAGATCTTTAATCCATTCTGAGTTTATTTTTGTGTATGGTGTTAGAAAGTGTTCTAGTTTCATTCTTTTACAAGTGGTTGACCAGTTTTCCCAGCACCACTCGTTAAAGAGGTTGTCTTTTTTCCATTGTGTATCTTTGCCTCCTTTGTCAAAGATAAGGTGTCCATAGGTACGTGGATTTATCTCTGGGCTTTCAATTCTGTTCCATTGATCTATATTTCTGTCTTTGTGCCAGTACCATACTGTCTTGATGACTGTCTAGCACACTCTTTGATGTGTGTTTTAAATTATATGTGTGCCCCTCAGGTCAGTGCTGTAATACATGCAAATGATTCTCTCTCACTTAAAGTTTGCACAATGGGCTGGGCCATTGGATGGGTGAGTGTGATTCATTAGCTCTTTAAGATCTGTTTTTTAGATCATGGCAGTCTTAGGGTCTTGTATAATACATGCAATCTCTGCTGGTTTTCAAAGCTAGATGTTTGGGGGGCTCATTTCTCATATGTAGGTCTTAAAAGTTGCGGTACTCCATGTGGGGTTCGAGTCCTTTGCTTCTGAGGGAGAATCTCCTATTTTTGAGTTCCCTCCCTACTGTGCATTGCAGTGTCAGAGGTGGGGTTAATTGTGAGATGTGGTCTGCCTTCTCATATCTGATTCAGTGTGTGTTTTTTTCTCTTTTGCCTGATGTGCAGTTATTGCTCAGCCAGTCTTTAATCCCCCCACCCCCGCCCTGAGGAATTATTCCCCATAGAGCTGTAAAATGGGTGTGTCCGTGGAAGGTGGTCAGCAAAGCATCTTCCTGCATCACCATCTTGAATCAGAACCTTGACAGTGTTCTTTTTATAACTTTTCTATTTCAATTTTCTATCATTTAAGACTTGAATCTAGGAAAACCATTAAAAATGTAGCTGGGAATAAATACAAACCAACCAAATGAAAATAAACCAAGTTGTTTGTTCGAAGCTTGCTTTAACAAGGGAGTGAGCCACCATTACTTGTGTTGGCCAGAGATCCAAAGCTTGGCAGGGGAGGGGGGAGCTTTATCGGGGAGATAATGGGAGGCTTTGGGTGTGCCCTGAGTAGAGGCTGTTGGAACTGGGAAGCTTTTGACAGCTAACTAGAAGTAGGGCATATTTTTAACATTTGCATTTATTTATTGTCTTTGGCTGTGCTGGGTCTTCATTGTGGCACTCAGGCTTTCTCTAGCTGTGATGAGTAAGGTATTCATTGTTGCAGAGCACGGGCTCTAGGTGTTCAGGCTTCAGTAGTTGTGGGCTCCAGAGTACAGGCTCAGTAGTTGTGGTACACGGGTGTAGTTGCTCTAGGGCACGTGGGATCTTCCCAGAGCAGGGAGCAAACTCATGTTCCCTGCATTGCCACACAGGTTCTTAGCCACTATACCACCAGGGAAGTCCCAAAGTAGGGCACCTTATGTGACTGGCTAGGTATATATATTTGGGTTTCTCTGGTTTGTCCTAAGCTGGAAGCAGTGAGAAAAGTTAGAAAAGTTGTTATTTATTAATCAAGTCCTGGTCATTTGGACAGGCTATATCAGTCTGATGTCAGGGAGGGGTACTGGTGACTAAGTAGTAAGTACAGTCATATGATCCTTTCATTGGAATGTGACTGACCCCCAATAACAACCCTGGACATCAAGGCTTAATGATGGCTAACACTGCTCTGCACACACTGTCACACTGTTTGCTGAGAGAGCTAAGCACTGTACAAGCCTTTCCCAAAGGAAAGACAACCAGAAATTTGCATCTGGTTCCCTCCATCTTTTTTTTTTCTGACATAAACTGTAGTAAGCATTGTCTGAGTTCCAGGAGGATGAACTGAAGCTTGACTAAGGCAGGAAGGGAGGCTCAGAGGAGGGAGGTGGGTGGAGCTGCAAGGCTGAATGGCCCGGGGAGGGGAGTGGTGTGTCCCAGCCTCCGCATCCATTACTCCTTCCTCACCCTCAGGAGCCCAGTGTGACCAGACCACAGCTCAAGGATGTGGGCCTAGAACTTTAGCTTCCAAGCACACCCTGTGCTCAGTTTCCTAAGGGCAGCCGTGTGATGCAAACAATGGAGAATCCTCTCTTTTCTCTGAAAAGCACTTCTGATACAGACTGAACTCCAGCTCCAATTCCTGGAATATCGATACCATCCTCCCCTTTCTGTGTACACTAGGGCTCCTTTACTGGATCCTTCCTTAACTCGAGAATAACCCGTCCCTTCCTCCTCCTTAGAAACATGGAACCATCAGGAAGATAAGGAAACCTTGGCTGAGACCCACAAGTACGTGATCCTCTCTTTTCTATTATTATTTCTACTCTTCTGAATCATCTAGAGAGATTCCTGAGAAGGGAAAGAATAGGACATCTATTCTCATGGAAGAAAAAAACATTACCCTCTGGAGACAACCAGGCTGGACAGGGGGCAGAGTGAACACGTCTCTCCAAAGATCTCAGATATCAGTTTTCCAGGTATGTTCGAGGGCTCATCTCCCAAACACAGTGACCAGAGCACGAGGACTGGATACTGAGTTCAGTCTCAACTACAGCAAGGTGCACGAGCACCGCTTCACCAGCCGTGAATAGGTATCTTGGACAGGACTGATCTGAGGACAGTGCTGAGGTCTTGAGAGTCTTGGAGTGGGGTGCTGGACTTGGAAACAGGACCACCTGACAGAGTCAGATTCACCCATTGTTCTGAGAACGTGTGCGTTTTTGAGCAGAGGAACAATGACAAAAGATCCGGGTGAATCTCAGTTCAAAAATCCTTATGTGCTTCAAAAAAGGAAAACAAAATATTTTTATCCACCTTAAAAATTCGTGAAAAGAAAGAAAAACCACAGAGCTCTGTTAGTGAAATGCCAAAAGTCATATTATGTATGGACACTGAGAGTCTGATGCTTGTCTAGAGAGGAGAGACTGAGAATTGGGTCTCAAGTCCTCATTTTTTCTGTGTCTCAGCATCAAAAGGAGCCAAAGCAGAGAAGTGGGAGTAGGGAGAGGAGTGGAGTTTTGAAAGGTACGTTCTGCCATTCAGCTATGTGTGCCCCTGGAGTTAGCCCCATCTCTCCGACCCTGAGGGCCCACGTCCACCGGCTCAGAGGAGGCCAGTGGCAGGGCCTGTCCCTTGGGAAACAGAACCCTCAGGGAAGCTCCTGGAAGAACAGGACCCAGACACTACCCAGATTCCATGTAGAGAATGAAGCTGGAGGGGCCTGGAAAAAGGTTTGGCCCAGCAGGAGCCTCTGGACTGCACTACCAATAGCACCTGGATTGGGAGGTGGGACTCCAGGTCCAACTGTGGACACATTGTTTTTTTTTTAATTAATTTATTCATTTTAATTCGAGGTTAATTACATTTGCACATCATTTAACATTTCTCAGATTCATCTATGCAGTGAATGCTGCCCATTCTCCCTCACAAAGGGACTGGTGAAGGCACCAAGGGGTAGTGGGTATGAAAGCACTTTGTTAATGTAAATCCTATCACAAGCTTCACCATCACTGTCAGGGATCATGCGGCCTTGGACCCTGGTACTTGGTTTCCAATATCCCAATTGTGTCCCCTTAAAGAGATACTGCAGTCAGCCTCCTGTAATACCCCTATGCCCTGGCTTCCTCACCATGACCCAGTTTGCTGATTTCCAGCTTGCAGAGGTTGCCTGGAACCACTGGAAGAGGTCTGGGATGTGACACCGCTTCTGCAAAGGTAGAGAATCATCCCCTTCTCTCCTCAGTGGTTCTTCTTTCCTGAGCCTATGGTGTGACCCCAGGGCTGCAGGTAGCCTGGGGTTGAACTGGAAGGGGGAGTCCTGGGGGTGGGTTATGGCTAAAATCCTGGGGTGAGAGACAGCACGGACATTGTGAATTCAGTATGGGGCTCGTGCAGGGCAGTTGGTTGCAGATGACCACCCCTTCCCAGCCTGCCCAGTTCTCCGGGCCCAGAAACTCCTGGCTGCAGCTTGTTCCTCATATCTGCTGCAGACACCTGGGGAGGTTCCCTGACAAAGGCAGCTTTCATCAGGTCTCCTCTCAAGATGCCCCAGGGGAGATGTGCAAAGAAACACCTCCTGGAGCCCAACAGCTGTGGCGGGAAAAGTCTGCTCCCCATGTCCTCCATGTCTTCTCTGCCCAAAAGGCCTCTGCCTCGAGCCTCAAGCATTTCTCCAGCTTTTGTCCAGGCTTAGTTCCTGCCTTAGTTTCCACTCACTCAGATTCATCCCTGAGAGCCTTGCCAACACCACAGCCTCTCTTTTCCCTGGATAGTCTTCCACCCACTTGTTTTCTCTCCTTCCCACCATGTCATCCTGATACAGGGACCTGCCTTCCACCTCAGAACCATTAGGCTCCTTGCTGAGCCTCCCTCAGGGTGAGCCCATAGCACTAACAACGGGCATCGTCCCACAAAGGTCACACCCATGCTCCCCTTGGAGACCAGCCATCGTAGGGGTCGTCCGTTCCAGCTATCCTCTTCCTACCCTGTCTTGGTGGCGGGGGCTGCCAAAGAATGGAGCTTCTCCACCTTGACACACTTGGGGACCTAAAAGAATACCTTCCCATACACTCACCAGAGGCGTGATTTTGGTGAGACCCCAGAAACAGACAGGTAGAGGCAGGTAGCCTCTTTTTTGTCAGCACAGATGTCCAGAAGCTGCTAGAGATATGAATCAGCAGGAGAGTGGAACTTAAGATCTGGAAAGAGTAAGAAAAGGAGGAGGAGGCAGGCTGCCATCTGACTTTCACTGGGGAAGGGAATTAAGTCACTGAGTGACAAGCAGGACACCTTGGGCACCAGCATTTCTGGAGCATAAAAGGCAAACCAGAACAGATGCTTGGCCCCAAAAAGCTCCGATATCCTCACACATTGAGGGTCCATCTACAGAAGACATGCAGGCAGCTCTTCTGGGTCTCCCGTTTCTGCACAGTGAGTCTCTGGTGTCTACTGACACAGGACCTGGGTCCCCTCTAGACTTATACCCTATCTTATTCAGTGAATGCTCTAAGGCCAAACAATCCCAAATTCTAGCTAAATTAACTTCACAACTGCCATTGGTCCAGTCCTTGATCCACTCTGTAGCCCAGGCTTAGCCTCGTCCTTGACTCCAGCCATGTCCCAGCTGCGGCCATCACCTCTGAGTCACATTTAGACCCAGGCCAGACCCAACCCTTAATTCCAACCATGCCCCAGATTCAACCACCACCTCGGACTCACATGGAGACTCAGGCTAGACTTGACTCCAATTCTTGACTCCAACCATGCCCCAGTGTCAATCACCAATTCAGGCTCAAGTGGAGATCCAGGTCCAATCAAAACACTATGGATTTATCTCTTGGCTTTCTATTTTGTTCCATTGATCTATATTTCTGTCTTTGTGTCAGTACCATACTGTCTTGATGACTGTGGCTTTGTAGTAGAGCCTGAGCCAGGCAGGTTGATTCCTCCAGTTCCACTCTTCTTTCTCAACATTGCTTTGGCTATTCAAGGTTTTTTGCATTTCCATACAAATTGTGAAACTATTTATTCTAGTACTCTGAAAAATACAGTTGCAAGCTTGATGGGGATTGCATTGAATTTATAGATTGCTTTGGGTAGTATACTCATTTTCACTATATTGATTCTTCCAATCCATGAACATGGTATATTTCTCCATCTATTTGTGTCCTCTTTGATTTCTTTCACCAGTGTTTTATAGTTATCTATATGTAGGTCTTTTGTTGCTTTAGGTAGATATATTCCTAAGTATTTTATTTTTTTCATTGCAATGGTGAAATTAAAGCTTCTGCACAACAAAGGAATAAGCAAGGTAAAAAGACAGCCTTCAAAATGGGAGAAAATAATAGCAAATGAAGCAACAGACAAAGGATTAATCCCAAAAATATACAAGCAACCCCTGCAGCTCAATTCCAGAAAAATAAAAGACCCAATCAAAAAGTGGGCCAAAGAACTAAACAGACATTTCTCCAAAGAAGACATACAGATGGCTAACAAGCACATGAAAAGATGCTCAACATCACTCATTACCAGAGAAATGCAAATCAAAACCATAATGAGGTACCACTTCACGCCAGTCAGAATGGCTGCTATCCAAAAATCTACAAGCAATAAATGCTGGAGAGGGTGTGGAGAAAAGGGAACCCTCTTACACTGTTGGTGGGAATGCAAACTAGTACAGCCACTATGGAGAACAGTGTGGAGATTGCTTAAAAAACCAGAAATAGAACTGTCATATGACCCAGCAATCCCACTTGTGGGCATACACACTGAGGAAACCAGATCTGAAAGAGACACATGTACCCCAATGTTCATCGCAGCACTGTTTATAATAGACAGGACATGGAAGCAACCTAGATGTCCATCAGCAGATGAATGGATAAGAAAGCTGTGGTACATATACACAATGGAATATTACTCAGCCATTAAAAATAATACATTTGAATCCGTTCTAATGAGGTGGATTAAACTGGAGCCTATTATACAGAGTGAAGCCAGAAAGAAAAACACCAATACAGTATACTAACACATGTATATGGAAGTTAGAAAGATGGTAATGATATCTCTGTATGCGAGACAGCAAAAGAGACACAGATGTATTGAACAGTCTTTTAGAACTCTGTGGGAGAGGGTGAGAGTGGGATGATATGGGAGAATGGCATTGAAACGTGTAAATTGTCATATGTGAAACGAATCACCAGTCCAGGTTTGATGCATGAGACAGGGTGCTCAGGACTGGTGCACTGGATGACCCAGAGGGATGGGACGGGGAGGCAGGTGGGAGGGGTTTTAGGATGGGGAACACATGTACACCCATGGCTGATTCATGTCAATGAATGGCAAAACCAATACAATATTGTAAAGTAAAATAAATTAATTAAAAAAAAAAACACTATGGAGTTATGACTCCAACCATAACTTACTTTCAACCACCACCTCCAGCTCATGTGGACACCCATACTCACCCCAACCCTAGACTCCAACCGCAGCTCACTTTCAAACATCACCAACTCAGGCTCACATGGGGACCCAGGACTGAACCCAATCCTTGACTCCAGTCAAACCTCAGTCACAACCACAACCTCGGACTCACATGGGGACCCACTGCCCATCTCACATTCTCTTTCCCAATGGAACCATCTTCCTCTCAACTGAAGACTGAATATGACGAAGTGTCTTGACCTGTAGTCCAAAATAAGGCACAAACTTTGATCCTCAATGCAATTCAAATCCTACAATGTCACTTTTTAAAAAAGCAACTAGAAAGTGGGCAAACTTTACCCTCTTTGGTTAGAAAAATCTCAGCAAGTCTTTAGCCAGATCACCCCAGTATTCCCCAGGAAAACAGGTCTTCCCAGGCACGCAAATCTGTCTCCATTGTTCCTGTGGATTTGATCAGCCCTGAGGTTCAGGAGAGACTGGAGTGCCCTCTTTCCGAAAGGTTCATGCAGCAAGAGAGTGGCTGCCCCGCAGAACCCGAGTCTCAGAAAGTGATGCAGCCTCAGGGAGAATCCCCAAGGCCTTGGCAGGCAATGGACACAAAGAGATCCTCAAGGCCTTCTGCAGGTCTAGGCAAAAGCAGCCAGGAAACACAGAAAATGGCATCCTGGTACCTAGCAAGGATCCCAACAGGAAAGCTCCTGAGCCAAGATGTAAAGCAGAGCATGAGGAGGTTCCTAAAAGTTTTGTGCATGACCTCAGCAAACCCTCCAGTGAAGGTCCCAAGTGCAAAGCCTGAGTTAGAGAGTTGAGCCCAGGCAGGAAGCATCCAGAGGAAATCCTGGGGGTCTTTATAAACAGGAAATCACAGCAGATCCATGAGGGTTGGATCCCTGTTAATGTCTATTGTTCAAGGCTTTCTGCCAACCACTTCATAGACCTTCCTGGACAGTCAAATGCTCCTATGGGAACAGAAAATGCAGGTTGTTCTCAGGATTGGGAAGCTTCCATGCAGACTTCCTATGAGTCTCTTATCCTCATTCCTCATATTCAACCGGAGCTGGAAGCTCATATAATAAAGTTTCAGGTGAGGCACAGATGGGTCCTTCTCCTAGGTTCATATATAGCTTGAAGTTGAAAACTTCTCATCACATACGACTTCCAAGATCCACCTTGAAGATTGCCAGTGACTCTGGGGACCACCCAAAAACCCAAGTTAACAGAGGGCTCAGGAAAACATTCTCATCCCCATCCAGGAGAGAAAGTGATAACAATCCAGGCAGTGCCCACCCTGAAGAGTACCTGCCCTGCCCCCTACCAGGCAACTGAAAAAACCTGGGGGGCTCTGGGAGGAACCACAACTGGAAACATCCAGAAGCCCTCACAGGCCCCTCTGACTGGACAGGAAGACAAGCCACCTTCTCAGGCCCCCACATAACACCTTTGGGGGCAGAATTTGGCACAGTGAGTCTATTGTGGAGGCTGACAAAGGCAGCTTGGAGCACAGTCCACATCCAGAAATGGCCAGGAATGAGCCACAGGAGGAATCTGGGGATTGGGCCACCCCAGAAACTTGCTCTAGTGTGACTGTCATGGACCCTGATGAATGTTCCCAATCTTCCATAAAACAAGAGGCTGTGGAGGGAGACCCTGGTTAGAAAGGTTCTTTTGAATCTAGTCTACTAATCAAATCCCAAATAATTAATATTGATATAAGATCATGGTCTCCAAGGTCCCATAAAAATCCCTCCTCAAACACAAAGTCTGTTGCCACAAATCCAGAAGATGTATACTTTGATGAACAGTTTCATAAGCTTAAGTTCCAAGGGTTCATAGACTGGCAGAAACAGGCTCAAGGCCAGGTCACTTGCCTGCTCTTTCAAGACTGTGCCACTGGGAGGCTTCTCAAAAACTGTCACTCAGATATATTCATTGCCACAAACACCTTGACTTCCCAGGAAACTCTGTGCTGTTCTGAAACCCTGTCCAATTCCCACACATGTGATGTTATGTCAAGTGGAGGGAGCAGCTAGGGACAGCAGAAAGCCCTGAGAAGGCAGGCCCAACATAAGAGTCAGCAAAGGAAGTTCGTCTCCACTGATGCGAGAGAGACTAATAGGAGGCCCAAACTACAATAGCATAAAAAGGGGTTGGTGGTACAGAGGTTCTACCAGGCCCACAGGATGAGCCACCCTGGCCAGAAAAAGGAATCAGCAGAGTCCCTACAAAACAGTTAATCCTGAAGAAGGGACAGGTTTCTTCAGAAAACCACTTTAAAGAAAGGATTAAGCATTTCCTGCAGTGGATTTGCCCCTGAAGGCAAAAGACTGGAACACGCCCTGCAAAAAGCAAGCCTGCAGCAGACACTGCCCAGAGGCAGGGGACTGTCAAAAGAAGTCTGATTGTGGACAGCA